GGCCATATATTTCAAATTAGTCCGTAGCGAACGAAAAGGGGACACTGAGTCTCTCTTAAATTGTTCATGTTAAAGCAAACTTCTATTTTGTCATCGGTGCAGCCGTTTTCCAGAAAAAGAGGAACGCAGACACGGACAGACAGACAGACAGACTCACGACGGAGACATCGCCTGACCCCACAGCGACTTGGACTGAGCTTCGCTCAGCGATGAAACCCGGTTCCGGCCCAACGGCTTGGTGGAGGACCCACAACCACGTGTTAGTACCACGCTCCTAGCAGAGGACCGCCTTGCCGCCCCACCTCCCACCTGTCATCACTTCTGCTGACCTCCGGGCCATGCTCGCGGTCACCCCTCGTGGCACGTCAACTGGCTGGGACGGCATCACGTTCGACGTCTTACGACATTTACCTGACGCTGCGCTCCATACGCTGGCCGCCATATTCACCTCCATCATTGCGTCTGGAGAGTTCCCGGACGCGGACAAATCGGCCCGGGTCTCCCCTGTCCCCAAGCCGGGCAAGCCGTACACGGTACCTTCGGACTGGCGGCCGATCTCTCTCACCACCCTGGGCAAGCTACTAGAGGGGGCGGTGGTACCCCATCTGCAGGTGCTAGCTAAGCGGGTCTTACCTTCTTACCAGTTTGGGTTTCAGGCGCGCCGCGGGACTGAACAACAACTTGTCCGTCTGGTCCACTTCTTGGCCGAGGCGGCGAACGACCGGCAGCATTCTCTCGTTTGCCTCCTAGATGTCGAAGCAGCGTTTGTTAGGATGTCCCACGGGCCGCTACTCCGAAAGCTGGCGGCTCTTCAGCTCCCTACATGGGCTGTCCAACTCCTCTCCACCTTCCCAGTGATCAAAGCAAAATCAGACCGATATCGAAATAGAGCTGTGCGAATCGAGGTTTTTGCCTTCGAATCGAATCGAATCGAATTTCAAAAATTTTCTTCGAATCGGATCGAATCGAATTGGCTCAAAAATTTCGAATCGAATCGAATCAAATCAGTCCAAATTCGAGCCCGAATCGAATCGAAAAAAAATCTGTTGTAATTTTCGTATGCAAGTGACGCGGTATTTTTAAACTTATTTAAACTGGCCCTGTACCGTATATGTTCGACGACTGTGCAACGTGTAGTGCGGGCATAGAGCTGGTGCCGCACACTAGACCCAAATGCGATTCGATGTCGAACCAACCCGATTCGAAATTTCGAATTATTCGACATCGAATCAGGCAGATTCGAAATCGAACGAATTCGAACCAGGCCGATTCGATTCGATATCGAACAATTCGCACAGCTCTATATCGAAACGACGTCAGACATCACAAATCTGTCGGTTTTCTCATCAGATTGAAAAAATGTGGTCCTGAAATTGACACATTTCTGATAACAGATATCGTTCTGACATCAATCTGACATTTCATTGCTCACTGGGTACACTGTTAATTGGGGGTGTACAGTCATTGTACGCCAAAGGCGTGTAGCACCCAAAACTGTACGCCTTTTGGCATGTAATGACTGCACGCCTTTGGCGTACAGTGACAGCACATCTTTCTTAGTGGAAATGCCCATGCGTTTGCTGGTGGTGCGTAAAGCCAAAGCGCCTTCGGCACTCCCACTCTGCTTCGGAAGCTGGAGTAGGGCGTTTAGTTTCTGTG